AAAATAAAAAGCACACCCTAATTATCGGTGCGGTTGTGGATTTATATAAAAATCTACGATTTTATTAAAAGAATCTAAAAATCGGTTCGGTACGGTATGGTTCGGTCGGTTTTTAAATATCCTTTGACACCCCTAGTTAAAATCGTTTGAATGTTGATAATTTATGTTTAACTTTTAGTTCAAATATATATATTGATGATTTACTGTAAAATCTTAAAACTCTATTGTTGGGCCTTAGAAATTAATTGTTGAAGAAGACAAAGTACGTCTTTTTGATTTGGTATTATTCGACTAAATTGGTAATTGAAAATTATGTGTGTTAGTATTTGGAAGTTTTGTTTCAAATTTGAGATTATTTGGAGCAGATTTGGGATGGTTTGATCGAAATTGAAGTTACAAATTTGAAGAACACTTTGTTAAAACAACCCAGAAAAAGTATGCTAATCCAGTAGACTTCTATGAACAACTTAACAGATAGGTAGAAAAAATATGCATCAACTCTACCAACCCGGTAGAGAAATACTTGAAGGGCAGAAGTATGACAATTAGGTAGACATCAATGAATAACTTAACAAATAGGTAGAGTAACAATATCATCAACTCTACCAATTCGATAGAGAAATCTTAAAGAGGCAATGTATGAAAATTCGTTAGACTTTGATGAACAATTTAATCCGGTAAAAAAACTCTTGAAGAGCTATGTGCGGTTCCAAGGTTATTTTTTAAATACCGTCAATTTTCGGGACTTTTTGTTAAGACCAACCTTAAAAAGTTCCTTTTGTGTCAATCACCTCTTAGTGGACTTGTAACCCAGATTATGGGGCACATGAAATTATGGTTTCTCCGTCAAACTAGATATCTTATGTATGTATTTTTTTAGAATTGATCCACTATTATTTGTTGCACACATGTTTCAAAAAGGTTGAATGATACACTTGATTGAATATTGAGTTATTTATCCAAATGAACATGAATTGATTCCCACTTAATATATTTTCTTTTCTCTTTTCTTTAATGGTGCATTCCAGGGGCGGCTCAACGGATCTCGTGGCCTAAGGCGAAACCATATTGAGAGACCCTTAAATTTATTTTATAAAATATTTACCCTAGCAACAAATTTATTTTATAAATAACAAATTAATCATTTAAGGCAAAAAAATAAATTTCAAAAAAAAAAAGGAAGAAGAGCACAAAAAATAAAGTGGTGACTATCGGATGTTAAAGTCTAAAACTCAAAGTGAAAATTTTGATTTGGCTATCATTATAAACAAGAAAACGAAATAAACGTACATAACGTAATAGCTTAACTTTTGAGCATTGACTGTTAAAAATATGTACTCCTTCTGATCAATTTAAACGTTGATTGTAGTTCATTTTATTAAGTATAACACTTATTGGTGAATATCTAAAATAAATTGTAAATAACCTAATATAATATGTCGAATTACACTAAAAGAAAACTGGTGCATGAATGTTTTTGTGTTCTTGCAGTTTCAGAGAACATTATAAAAGAAATTTATTATGTTGTTGATATATATAACTTAATTCCTATATAAAAAGGATAAAATTAAAATTGAAGAGTGAAGCAAATATACTAACTAATAAGGGAAGAAAATGATCATAATTTATAAATTTGATGTATAAAATAACCTCAATCAAGTAACAAAAAAATATACTGTAACACTTTTTTTTATACTAATTAGCTATATAAATTATATAGTATATAGTAATAATAATAATAATAGTAATAATTTAACAAAGCCTTAGAGCCGCCCCGGTCATTTATGTTCTAAAAATTCTAAATAAGCTGTACACATATGTATTATACGTAGAAGCCAACTATTTCGTACTTTCTTACTTTTGAGTATTATGAAATTTGTGATATATTCCATTGTTTATACTTTATCCATTTTCTAATCTTATTTTATTTTAAAAATGCTAGCTTTACAAGTAAAAATTTGTGGAGATTTACGTCCCATGCATTAATGGGGCTAATGTTTTGAACCTGCATGCATCTCCACTTTTCAAAATTTCTGTTCACGAGGCCTTGTCAGATTAATAAAGTTAGTACATCAAATAGGTTCTTGATTACTGTAGCAGATTAATATAGTCTGTATTTTATTTTGTAAGTTTTCTTGAAAACCAGCACTTCTAAGCAACTTGTTTGTTTTTATAAGCGGTTACTCTTTTATTTTTCCTGCATTTCAACTATATTTTTTAATTTTTATGATGATGTTATTGTTTCTTTGGTTTCTGTTTGACGGTACTAATATATTGTCCCTTCTCTTATCGTCTTTTTCGTGTTATTGAATCGAGGGTCTTTCGGAAACAGTTTCTCTACTCCTTCGGAGTAGAGGTAAGGTCTGCGTACACACTACTCTCCCCATATCCCACTTGTGGAATTTCACTGGGTTGTTGTTGTATAAGTGGTTACTCTCACATATATTTTTACCATTTTTTATTTTTTCTAGTTACATTGAAAAGAGATTTGCCTACATAAACATAAAGGTAATTTAACATCTACTAATACTACATTAAGATGCGGGCATATGTGTAATATTGAGGAGTCACCAGACCTCGTAAAATTAGGCAGGAATTTTTTATATGTGTATATGTACCTTAAAAATAATTAGATAAATAACTTGATATCCTAAACATTAAAAGTCTTTAGGGGCACTAGTTGAGCAAATTAATAGTGCTCCTGTCACGTTAAAATCTTAGGCCCGCCTCTGACTATATTGAACCATTGCACACACTTTTTTGTTTGTCTTTTTTTTTTTAATATAGTTTTGACATGCAACAAATCACCAACTGTATGTGCCATTACTTAATTAATTATTCCCCATATTCAGTTTTAGTTGTTCATTTTTGACTTCGCACTTTCTTTAAATTTTTTTTAAAATTTTCAAATTGTAGTTTTTTGGTGTCCAAAGGCCTGGAATAAGGGAAAGAGGAAGGAAAGGGAAATTATGGAAGCATAGATATTTTTTATTTGTTTATTGTAAAACCTTGTGAATGTATAAAATTAAAAACTTGTTCAAGAAAATTAATTTAGGTTAAGATTGGAGTTTCTTAAGGGCAACAAATTAAGAAAGATATTAAGCAAAACCTTCCAAATGTTGGCCACCTGTCCCCAGCATGCAAAATAGTTTTTGCCTAATTGCTTAGCTAATCATTATTTACTTTATAATATTATACACATTTCACCAATGCCTTACAAAGTATATTCTAAGCATTTCACACTACAATTTGAGCAAAGGAAAATTTAAGCCAAAATTAGCTTAGCTTCCCCAACCAAAATGGGTAGGAAAAGTTTTCATCTACTCATTTGGCAATCTTATGTCCATATTCAAATTAGGTGGACTATTTGAACATGTGAACATTGTTTAAATGAAAATGGTTTTATATGTCTTAGTCTTGTAGAGTTAACAGATAATTATGTTGAGTAGAAAGTATCAGATATTCGATAAAATATAATAATGTATGTGAGTTGGCTTGACACCACTACAAGTAACTCAGTTTTTAGAGAAGAACAAAATATAAAAAATAAAAGTAAAATATATAAGCTTTTACTTTTCTTTACTTAAATATTCTTTAATAAAGGGATCAATTACGTATGGATATCAAATTAATATGAAAAAAAAATTGAGTGAACTTTCATGGGAAAGTGGATTAAGATCAAAATCAAGAACATCATGTTGTCATTTGACTTCGAATTTATTTGCCTTTTAATTTGACCGTCATTTTCTTAATTTAGTTGATTCAGTGCAAGAAAGACTTAATTATTTGGTAGTTTTTTTAAGCATAGTTCTATGAGTCCATATCATAGATTGTTTTTCACTGAGTAATTAAAGTTAAATACCATTCTACACGAGTTGGTTAATTTTCCTGCTACAATCTGATTGTACTTAAAGAAAGCGAAAACTTATACTCCACCATTTCTAAGGAACGTAGTGTGAGTTAAGAAATATCTTTGACACATGTTAAGACTAAACTTCACGAAATCTTTTAATTTTATCTTGAACTTCTAAAATGACAAATAATTTAAGATAATCATGCTAAAAAATTACAATAAATAATTTGAGATGGAGGAAGTATGAAATTATTTCTTTCCACAAAAGAAAAATAACATTATCCAAGAAAAGAGAAATTGCTTTATTTGCTATATTGCTATTGCCTTTTTACTACTCAAGAAGTAACTTTTTCATCTTTACAACCATTACCTATACGTGTAACAGATCAATCAAAAACCTTTTTACAAGATAATCACTACTTGGTATCATATCATTCTCCCCGATTATTTTATTTGCAAAATTTAAATTTTAGGTAGCTTGAAGCAAATACGTGTATACATTGCTAAAAATACATATATCCTTTTTATCAAAAGTCTAACTATAAAAAAAAAAAAAAAAAAAAAAAACNGCATTACCAAAATCTTCCACAGAAAAGAACAAAAATCCAATACTCTCTTTACTTCATTTTATTAAGTGGTGTTTCACTGGACACGAAGGTTAAAAAAAAAAAAAAAAAAAAAAAAAAAAAAACCACCAATTAAATCAATGTCAAACTGCCCCATACAAGAAATTAATAAGGAATGTAAAAATCTTAAAAACAGGTAATATGAATGAGTGATAGCAATCACTACTCGGCATATAATTATAATTTCATTCTTCACAACTATTTATTTTGTAATATTTAAAATTTAGGTAGCTAGCTCGATTCATGTACGCTACGTGTATTCATTGCAAAAATTACACATAATTATTTATCAAATATATAAGAACTAATTTTGTTTTGCAAAAAAAGGCCACCAATTAAATGGGAAGTCTAGATGCCACGTGTACCAAATAAAAAATATATAAATTTAAGGGGGTCATCAAAGTAACATGACAAAGAAGTTATTGATGACCTAACTCAAAAGGATTGTCCTAATTGTGAAAAACTCTTAGAAAATAAAAAAGAGAAAAAAAATCGCTATAAATACTGTCTTCTTCTTCTTACACTTTTTTAACATACCCTAAAAAACATATCCCCAAAAATCCAAAAGCCAAACAGTCAGAAAAAAGTCAATCAAGAAACAAAGAAAATTTTTATTTCTCTTCTTTATAATTTCACATTGGTTTAAAGGAGTATGATCAAAAGCTCAAAAGGGTCTGTTTGGAAGAGGAAAAACAAGGAGAATATGATGAATCAAGAAAAAGATGAGAAGCTAATTACAAATAGTAGCAAGAAGATGAAGAAAAATATTAATGGAAAAAGCAAAGGGGAAAATGAAAATTACCCTTTGCTTTGTTATCATGAATTGCCAAAATATATGAAGGATAATGAGTTTATTTTGAATTATTACAGAGCTAATTGGCCTATTAAAGAAGCTTTTCTCAGCATTTTTCGTTGGCATAATGAAACTCTTAATGTTTGGACGTAAGTATTTCATTTTTTTTCCCTGTTCGATTTGATATATACTGACAGTTTAAATTTTTTTATATAATCGATGTAGTAGTTATCATTTAGACAAATTAATAGTGTAAATTTTTGTTACACAATTAGTATGTAAAAGTTAAAGCTGGTGTTCTTTTATTTATTTATTTTTGGTTAATTTTTAAAATTGGATTTTTAGGAAGCGTTTTTATTTATTTTCTATTTATCTAGCATATTGTAAAAAAAATAAAGTAAACTTGTTTGATTTTTTGCAGGCATTTACTTGGATTTATTCTCTTTGTGGGATTAACCATAGTCAATGTAGTGGAAGTACCTCAACTTGCTGATTTCATGACTATGTTTATTTGGTAAGTCACCTAAATTTACTGTTTTTGAACTTTTTTCCCTTCTATTTTGTTCTCTCTAGAAATCAATCCCATGAATTAACAACGACTAATTATCCACATTAAATCTTGGTTATTAAACTAAAAAAATAAAAAATTGAATGCAAATAAATTCAGAGGTTGCCATTTCTTTAATCTCCTTAATTCTCATTAGTAGTTGTTTCGTTTTTCCTTTTCCTTTTTTTTAATGTATACTTCTCATGTTCCTCGTTTCTAATATAACTAGTGTTCAACTTTTAGGCAGAACACTATATAGTCGCACCTAAAATAATGACCGAATATATATATATATNATCGCTACGAAATATAAATAGTTTTGATCGCGGACTAAAAGTTATATCTTTTAATGTATCAACCATTAAAAAGCCAAATCGAAAAATGAAAAAGGCTAATAATTTCTAGAGCAGATCATAGTGACAGCTAAAGACATTCAATATGGGTCCAATTTGATGTATGAAATGTTGGTAAAATGAATGGTTTTCTGGAATATGCTGTACGATATTGTTGGTCATCAAACTCCCAACTACATTCCATAAATATGTTCCCATTTATTTATACTAATAAAAAGATTTCATGGCTGAGATTCACGAAAAACCTTCAATAAAAATATTGTTGGTTGGTGCTTCACTAAAGTCATAGTCACAACCGCTAGGTGTGTCAATGGTTCGGTTCGATCGGTTATTTTATAAAATTTGTACCATACCAATTTTTTTGTTATTTTATGATGTATAACCAAAATTAGACTTTTAAAAACCGTACCAATCATGCTGGTTTCTCTTCGGTATCGGTACGGTTCGGTTAAATTTTCGGTATTTTTTAAAAAAGTCATTTAAAAGTCACTAATAGAAGTATAATGTAATAACATACCTACTTTTATAGGACTTATCAAAACTCTCTAGATAATCTTACCATTTAAAAGGTGATGAACTAAGAAACCATAAAAGATGCCCAGATCCATCAACTATTCTATAGCATCGTAAAAAAAAAAAAGCAAAGACAAAGAAAATATAAATCACACAGGTGAAAAGATATTAAGCAAGTTGAGACTCAAGAATAAAGCTTATAGAAAATTAAATATTTGAAAATATAAATTTAAATCATACGAAAATTGAATACATTGTAGGTTGTTACTCATAATCGTTGGATTACCCTGTGTCTTACTAGTGAGTATGCTGGAAACAGTTTAGTTTCAATAGGATTAGTATAATAGGTTTGGGGATTAAGATTTTGGGTTTAATTAATTATTGGCTTGTAACAGTTTTTATAATTTCAAGGCCCAATAAAAAATTTAATATTTTTTTTTTTTTTATTAATATATAAATATATTTTTTCCGTGTAGATTTATTCGGTATTGTTCGGTATTTTTTCGGTTTATTTTCATAAAATAAAAACCTACCCTAATTATCGGTACAATTATAGATTTATATAAAAATCTACGATTTTATTAAAAAAACTTAAAAATTGGTTCAGTTCGGTACGATTCAGTCGATTTAGTTGGTTTTTAAATATCCATTGACATTCCTGACAACCGCCAAAGAATTTCTTGGAATTTATTAATTCACTTTAGTTTATAAAGGAAGAAGGGAAAAGAAAAAATTAGGCGGAGTATAAAATATAAAATACTAAAAAGTTTTTAATTTGGGACTCTCGTTATAATGCACCGGTTGTGCCGGTAGAAATAGCACCAAACAGCCGCTTTTTGATATGTTGTTTAAAGTTTAGCCAGTGTTTTAAAAATATTTCAAATTTAGACAGATTTGACAAATTTCATACAGCTCCTCCTCCTCCTTCTTCTTCAGATCTTCTAGTCTGAAGTTCTAAACTGCAATAGTTTAACTTCAAACCCAATAGTTTGAAACGTGAAGGTCTGAAGTTTGAACTCAGACCTGAGGTCTAAAGTTTGGGTTTGATAGTTCAAACTTGAGATCCGAAGATTTAAAGTTTGATTATAAAGTGGCTAAATTTTAAAAGCTTCATAAACTTTAGCTATTCTTTAAATTGGGAGAAATTCAAAAATAGCCATATTTACTAGTGGTAATTGAAAAAAAGTCACAGTTTCAAAAGTAATCGAAATTTAGCCACTTTTCATGTAAAGATAAATTTGAACGAAAACACTGTTCAAAATCCGAAAAATATTCCAGTATAATATACTGGAGTTCCAGTATAATATACCGGTCTAGCATAATATGCTGAAAGTTCATACACAGGTGCTCCAATCTCCAGTATATTATGCTGGACCGGTCCGTGTTGCAGCAAAATAGTGGCTATTTTTTAATGACTTTGCAAATGGTGGCTATTTTTGAATTACCAGTCCGAAAACTGGTTAGTCCGTGCTGTTTTAACCTTTAAATTGCATTCCTAAAATGGTTATTTGTGCACTTCGCCCGTTATAACTTGTAAATTTCAGCAAAGGCCTTAATTTCGCTCACTATTTGTGGTCCCTCCCCTACCCAAAATAGATTAAAAGGAATAAAGATTGCTTAATTTCATTCTCTGATAATTAATTCTTAATTATTGATTCAACCTCGCAGGAACTTTCCCACGAGTGGAGATGCAAATGTCTCCAATAATTCAAAGGAATTTTTCCAGGTGAGTTACTTTTCAATTCTCTTAAAATTAGCTTTCATTTTCGTAAATTCTAACAATATTAATAACGACACCTGAATCGGAAACATGTTAGGAATCATCTATATAAATCCTCACTATCTATATCGCTAAACAAAAACAGAAAAATCGAATAAATACGAAAATTAATATATCTTTTTTTTTTTTCCAGGGTTCAGGTAGACTAATTGATTTGAAGCAAGACCAAAACTTACAACTTGACATAATGTCAACACAGAGCGTACAAAGTGAAACAACATGGCCATTTTATGTATTCTTAGCTGGTTCAATGTTTTGTCTTCTCTCAAGCAGCATTTGTCATCTTTTCTCTTGTCATTCCCACAAGTTAAACATCCTCTTGCTTAGAATGGACTATGTTGGAATCACAGTCATGATAATAACATCATTCTTTCCACCAATTTACTACATATTCCAATGTTCACAACATTGGCAAATTGTATACCTAAGTGGTATCACAATTATGGGAATTTGCACTATCATCACTCTACTTTCCCCCGTGTTTTCGACTCATAAGTATCGATCATTTCGAGCTGTGTTGTTCATGTCTATGGGATTCTTTGGTCTGATACCTGCAATCCACGCGGTAATATTGAACTGGGATGAGCCTGAGAGGAATGTCACACTAGCGTATGAGTCCGCCATGGCATTATCTTATCTAATTGGGACTATGTTTTATGTTACTCGAATCCCTGAGAGATGGAGGCCTGGATTTTTTGACCTAGCTGGTCATAGTCATCAAATATTTCATGTATTTGTGATCTTAGGTGCATTGGCACACTATGGTGCTGCTCAAATTTTCTTGGAATATCGGAGTCGATTGGGTTGTGACAAACCCTAGATTACAATGCACTATGACCTAATTTACCAACAAAAAAAAAAGGAACATGATTATCAAATTTATTCTTTTTTATGTTTGTATTTTTAAAATTGATTTGATGATTTGATGTAAGGTATTGCGTTGTGTTATAGAAGGGGTTAATTTTTTTACCCTTTTAGCTATAATCATTCATTTGTTATGTAATGAAATTATAATGTATACATTTTCAAATTGGATTGAATGAACACTTAGATTTTTAAGTGATTGCCTTTATTTTTTAATATTTCGTCTGAAGAAATGTTAGGCTCGATTTTTCTTTTTAATTTTATTCTCCATCTCCTTCTTCATTTATAAGGAATGAAAAATACTAACCGCAACCTAATGTTCACATAATCGAATGATTTATCTTATGAGTCAAATATTAAAGTAAG